GCTATGGACGCTGTGTATGGCTGGCGACTCGCCCACGAACCCCACTTTCAGGTCATTTTTGGAATGAGTCGGCGGGTCTCCTTCCAGGTCAAACGACCCATTCCCAGTCCCTTCGTGCATCTTCTCTGGAAGCTATTTCCGGCTCGCCTGATCTCCAAGCTGAAAGCATCAACGAAACGCCCACAACCAGCACTCTCGCGCGCCGCCGACGCCTTGCCACTCTTGAACTTCCAGCCATTTTCTAATAGGCCTTATCTCCGTTGAAACCGAGCAGATAGAATTTTCCTAGGCAGATAATATTATGAGAACAGGAGTATTATCCACTCCTAAATTTAGCCAACGAGAAAGTTTCCCCCATCCTAGCTTTCCACGGTAGCTAATTTACCCCTGCTCTGGACTACCCTTGAGCTACTATTTCTCCCCAGATCCTAAGGCCTTGGCTACTTTGCCCGACAGCCTATATGGCCCTGGCTACATAGTCCGCCCTGCTATATCGTCCTGGCTACATGGCGCCCCAGCCTATATGGCCAGGGCTATATACCCCATAGGTCGCTGATAATATTCGCCCTCGTTAGAAACCTCTACAAAGAACTATTTCCTCAGATAGACCACAGGAATAAACTTCCGTAGAGCCGCCTACATTTGGTTGGCTCTCCTAGGGGCACACTACAATACCCTGGGCTAGCACCTTCCTTGTGGGTGGCTTATCTCTGGGGAATAGTTTCCTTGCGGCCATGTACTCCACAGGGACAGTTTTCCACCAGTAACCGCATCCTTAGGCCGAGGATCCCTTGGGGGAATTTGCGCTTGAGTATCAACCCAACCCAAGGTAGGTTGACCCGACGGGAGTTCATTCTCGTGGGTATGGCTTCGTGTGACGCTCAACTCTGCGTACGAAGGGGCTGTCGCTCGTCCTCCGCATCGGCGGCCGATGGCCGCCGCCCGAGCGCAGCTCGTAATGTAAAAATGTAAAATTGGCAACGGACAACTCCATGATTAACTAACTAACTAACTAACTAAACGTAATTCACGGCCGACCGGGCCACACGGTCGTGCGGGCCACCCTAAAATATCATACTAAATGCTACATTTTTGATTCCGCTATATTCGAACCACTAATTGTTTAGTTTGGCTAATCTTATAGGATATATATTACTTTCCGTGTAGGAATAATATATGTATAACGTTCTAACCTTTTAAGGGTATATAGCTACTTTACCATAAAATACAGCGTATTTTTGATGTTTCTGATTCAAATATATATATCTCTCTCAATACTTACTTCTATCTTTTGCCACTACATGAATAGGTTATTCATACTCTCTAGTCCATGCATATTTAATATTTAGTCTTAAATGAAAGCGGTTGTTGAGATATGAAGTTGTAATTTATCGCATTTAGTATGGTGTTTTAGGGTGGCCCGCACGACCGTATGGCCCGATCGGCCGTGAATTACGTTATTGGGTTAGAGCGCTGACTAAACATACTGGAACAATCTATGTATGTAGAACATTGTAATTTTGGAAACCTCTGCGGTTTTGTAATATGTACTCTGTACATGTACTACTGAGATGTCAATACTTCAGAGGTAATAAAATAAGAGAAGTGAAAAAAAAACCTGAGTCATTAGACTAATCCCATTAACTAGTATTAAAACTAAAGAAGTATTAAAACCAGAGAAAAATCCAAATTTGGCCCCCAGGACTACTGTCCGAAGTATCAATACCTCAGTAGTAATAAAACTAGAGAAGCCGTAGAGGCTGACTATAAATAGACCATCGTACAAAGTACCCAGTGTTTCTAAACTTAGCCTGGACTGGCTACGTGGTTCTAATACTACTGAGGTAAAAATACTTCAGTAGTGATAAAATTAGAGAAGTGAAAAAGTTGAGCAGTGCATTGGGGGCGGCAAGTCTGGGTATCTGGGGCCTTCATAGATTTAGGAAGAGTGTTTTCTGGCCTGTGTGGTCCCCAGGCCGGAGGAGACACATATCCAGTGCCTTAAAGCCAGTAATGTAATAGAGCTGTGGAACCGCGTCCCGGCGGGCTTCGAGTCTGGGGATGTGGGTCTGTGGTTGGGAAGCTGTGGTGGGCAGGCTTTGGGTTTGGGACCCATGACACAGAACAGTAAACTCAAGACCACTGTCTGACGACTATGGACGTGGACCCACTTTGGACGTACGTCCAGAGCTTCCAGTCCAGGTGGGCTTTCAAACAGTCAACTGGCGGCCACCCTGGCTTAGTAACCATAAGAGCGTCAGGTCTTCTGACTGCAGTCTGCCTGAAGGTCACTCATGGTTTGGGCGGGAGTCGTGGGGGATTCGAAGGACAATGTCCAAGGAACAAGGAGATGGTTCTGAACCGCGAAAAGGTCATGAAGGGAACGTGTTTGCGTGAAACTAGCGCGCCACCAATGAAAGGCCGGTATACTGAGCGGTATAGCTATTTCAGGAAGGCGGTAGTGGAAGGGTGCCTATGACAAGGTTCACGGAAAGTGGGGCCGTCTGTGACGGCCTCCGTCTTGTGCATATCCCTGACCTAAGCAGATCCTCTCAAGAGGAAATCAGTCTTGAGACGGCATATCCGAAACTGGATCGCTCTTAAGAATGCCTTCACATGACTGACTTTTGAAGAGCCTAGGTCTCTTAAGGGCTGTGTCTCCTGGGGGTCTTCTTGGGAAGGTGCTGTTCTTGAGAATCCCCTCTGATATCCGAGCTCCTACTGAGAAGGTCGTCATGTGCCATTAGAGTTCTTAGGATGGTAAACGTCTCAAAAGAGGCCTCTCAGATAGTCGTGCCTCCCGAGAAATCTGTCAGACATCCACGTAGCACCCAAGACGTAGTTCAATATTCAAAAGAACTACATCCGTATCCTCGGCTGCAAGTCACTTATCGTGGGACGGTAACCGCTGGCTATTTTTGGTGCATACTGTAACTGAAAGCGACGTCTCCTGACATGGGATCATTCAATCAGTTATCTTTCAAGACTAGGCATTCGATCCCGGTGAAACCTGGCAAGCACGAGACTGTGACTTGGATTTGAACAAGTAAACTAGGTGATCCAAAAGATGTCACTGGCTCGTTACTACGGCCTTTCTGGGCCGAACATAAAACACAATGGCGAGTGGGCTGCGAGTCAAAATGGTGTCGCAGAACACTCAGGCGGGTCGACCGCTCGGCAGTTTACCTCAGTCATAGTGGTGCAGGGACAAACGCCACATGCGTCATCCCCGTAGTGTGGATGCACAGCAAGAACTCTACGACTTCCTTCCCTGAAGGCTGTACGAGTCCGGTTAAGCTTTGTAGCACTGGAGTCTCCTCTCTGGCTGGAGTCCCCTCTGGCTCTCTACCCCTGCAGGACCAGTAGAGTCCTTGTTCTGCCAGTGTCCTCCAATACACAGAACAGCTATTAGAGCTATCAGTTAGCCGCAACCACCCAGAGCAAAAGGAAGAGGCATTTCTAGGAGGAGCAGCTTAAATTTCTGGAAGTGAGGAGTGCATTAACCAGTATTTCTATTTGTATCTTAGATGCCAGGACGGCTGGGATAGACTATGAATAAACAATCAATCAAGCCTGTTTCTAGGAGCCGCCAGCATGTTCCCAGGTGGACTAGTCATATATCCTAGGATCCCATAACAACGCCCAGGAACGCCATTGAAAACTCCAGGAGCTCTACCCCTCCCAGGAACCAACAAAAGGGCCCTGGGATCTACATCGTCGATCCGGGCGCCACTTAGAGGCAGGGGTATGAATGCGCAGAATGGAAGATTGATATCTGATATCCGGCTACTACATGTAATAACTTCACACGTAAAATCTTTCCATCTCTGGTGGTCTTTAAGCACGATGCGAGATAAAGGCCCCAAATAAAGAACTTTGGAAAAACCCTTCTACTACTGTCTTCTGAGGCCTTCTATGCGTTTCATAAGATGGGATCCATCGATAATTCTCCGATACGAGCTCCATTGGAGAACTTTTCCTCCCGAAGTCTACCGCCAAATCTGTTAGATAATTCCTTCATCGTAATGTTTATCGGCCTAGGATATGTCATGCTCTGTCATGTGTCAGAAAAACGATAAAAGGACGATGGAAGGACGAATTATTGGGAATAGCCTCAAAGCATACCAAGCTTTCTGCCGAAAGGGGCCAGTCTGGGGTCTTTGACGCGAGCGTATATATCAATCCACTTTTTCTCATGCGTAGAACCAAATAAACATCTGCTTCACACTCTTGGGAGTACTCGAAAGTTTTCTTAAACAGCGTGTCTCGTCTCCTTATGATTTTTTGACTGTCCCTCCTGGATTGCGATGTTTTTAAAAGGGTACCTACCCGATTTAAAGAACAGCGTGTCACGCATGCTTGAGTGTCCATAGTGAGCCGAGTGAAATGGATAAGGAATTCTTCAGGCTGAAGGCCTTTGGTCCAGCTTTATAGGAGACTTGACCGAGCTAAAAATGGGTTGTGGGTCTTGTGGATCTGGGATCGTCCAAAATGTCCCCACAATGACGTAGACCCATTTCCTCTTTCTCCAGGCGCCTTTCCTTACGATCCGAGATTGCCAGTGTGAGAGTGGCCACAAATGGTGCTGAAGTGTTGAGAGAAATTATTTTTCTTCCCTGGAAGCCTACGTATCAAAGAGCATGTCGTGGGAGTGGGGGTGCATGGGGAAAGCCTATTGGACATCCAACTTCGCGATTCAAAACCGCCGACTTTGCGATCGCCAGACCTAGTTGCCTAGGGACCTAGAACCTTCGATCCAGCATTTCCCCTGCCCGTTCCTCTGGGCGCAAGCCATGCCCCACCTTGGCCTTAAATTGGTCGCTCCCCCCACCCCCCTCTTCTGTTTGTTTTGTCCCCAACGTGCCTCCCAGCTTTGGCTTTCCCTGCTCAGGTGCTGCGCACCTGGGCGTCCTATCCTTTTTGTACCTTTGCCTCCTCATCCTACACTCTTTTTGTCTCCTCCTTTTTGTTTGGTGTGCATAAATAAAGGGAACTACAATATGTCCCCAGAGGATGGCTTCGTACAGCAATGGGGGCATGGACAGTCTGAGCCATTGACAGAGGACTCATCTTTGAATGGGAATTTATCGAGCTATCGGCAATTTGCCAGGTCTAAGGAGGTAGGTAAGTCCAGAGCTCAGATACGATTAATAGGGTACTGATGATTGTCAGTTCCCTAATTTGGTTCGATATAGCATCGTGGCCTTTCAGTCTCTTCCAGAGGCCGAAAGGCAGGATGTGGCCGCCAAAGCGGGTATTACATCTCTAATGCCAAATATGCCTAGTGTTGACCCTCCTGGAAATCAAGTCTTGTCAAATCCGCAGGTTGGAGAAAATGACGGTGCATAGCTTGTTCCATTCCACTTCGATCTTGATTTGCTACTCAATTTCTTTAACAACGTATAAACTGACTTATGTCGGTAGATCCTACGGACGCTATTTTCTGGAGTGAGTTCACCCACGATCTCGGTCCCTCGGTCCTACCTTCGAACCTGGAGGTTAATCCGCCAAAACCGCAGCCTCTGGAAACTTCGTATCCCACCCCCCAGTCTGCTCCCAGTCCAGATGTAGGAACCAATACCATGGGCTCCGATTTCTCGACTCCGGCAGATCTCGATCCTTTCCAGTTGTTAGATGAGCCAAGACCTGCAAATTTGTACCCGACCCAGTCCACTTTCGATTATACGCCGCGACCGGCAACTGACCTAGAGGGTTCTACGCTATATAATACGTCCGAAAATATGAATGGCATTGGCATGGGACCACCACTGGCAGAGCCAGCGGTCCTCATCTCCCAAGCTGCTGATCAATCTTTAAGTCCACATATGGTTGATGATCCTGCCGAGGAAAATCAATTCTATAGTCATTCCCTTTCCCTTGAAGCCTTGCAACATGTCCAGGCCCCTGAAGTCATGCCCGTTGACCATGCTCAAAATATGATACGATTGTTTCCGGATTTGAGTACAAACCAACTTCGACAAGCGATGGAACTAGGCGACCGTCTTTTCCCCCAAGAGTTGATCCACTTAGAAACTCAAGTCAATCACTGGCAAGCTGAACAATTGTGGAGTTTCGTGGGTTTCTCGCCAGGGTCGTCTGCCAGACAAAGGATCGCTGGAATCTGTAGACATATCAAAGACATGGGCAACCCAAACGCAGAAAACTATTTGAGGATTCGACTCGCAAAAGTCCAAGTCAACATGCTCTATGAGACCATCTGCAAAGAGGAAAAGAATCGGCGTCTCAATCTCGGACCGAGAAAGTTCACTACCCACGTTCTTAACTGCATCGAGGCAGCCATTAGAAATCCTGGCGACCGACGCCTTCCTGTTCCCAGAAAGTCACTTGTTCGCGACGCTATCTTTCGATACAAGAAGGTTGGTAAAAAATGGTCGGTGTCGCAAGGTCTAAGTATGACGTTGCTTGTTGACCAAGACTGTGGAAGGACAATGTAAGCGCTACCATAAAGTTCGAAATTTCCCTGGCTAATATCACGCAGAGAAGACGGGCAGTTCACCGAGATGCAGGTGAAGGCTTTGATGTTCTATGTTTCGGTAACTCGGCCTGATATTATCAGTCTCTGCAGCAACTTAGAACATGCTGTCAGCTATTTCCTGACCCATAATCGGTTGCCGGCGCGTCCCACCCCCGATGATGTTCGAAGAATGATTGGGATTCACAATCCAATGACAGCGATCGTAGATTAACATGAATGGACAGGTTGAAGATTGCCATGTTCTCTTCAGATGAATTTCAAGTCTGATTTCGGCTTGCAAAGTTGGAATTAACCAGGATTGGGCTTGCACTATTCATGCATTTGATTTTGCTCGGTCGAGCTCCTTTCAGTTATCCGCAGATAGAAGATGAATCAATTAGTCCTGCCTTACCGTGTTCGTGTAGATCCTGTCACTCACTGTGTAGTATCCCAGGAATGAGGAGCTCTGGGCGAATCGGTCGTTCAAGGACGAGGAGTTTTTATGCTAAAAGGTAAATGAAAATTGCTGTGAAGAACCCTATAGTCTTCACGGAAAGGATTTTTTCTGGGAACATACCTCAACTTTGTATGCACCGCCAAGAGTGGAGCTGAAACCATTGCACAGAGCAACAAGCAGCACTCGGGAAAGGTGCGGTGTTGCGGTGCGGAACCACCGATTGAATTTGGCGGTTCGAGGTAAATACTGTGTGTCCATTGGTCGGACACCCTGTTGGCGGTTCAGAATCGCGACACTAGAAGAACCTGCAGCCGCGATTCCTCTTTGCACCAAGCAATACAGTACAGCCAGATGATTCTATCGTGTTAAGATCCGAGGAGGATACGGTAACGGCCCCAAGGACAGAAGCTGTGTTTCTGGTTTCTTACAATTAGCTGCATCGAAAGGTCAGTGAACAGGAATGTACAGTACAGGAGAGTGGGACTTTAACCTAAGGACGTAACACATGGTATTATCTGCCCACAATTTATGTACAACAGGCTAGTATTTCCACTGGCTTTACACTGTGCTTCTACAGGGTCGGTTGAGCGCCCTTTTAGCGGTTTAAAACAGCGACTCCGAAGAAAGCTATTTCGAACCGCCACTTTCTCATGCCATCAAAGCTTACTTAAAGGAACGGAATCCTCGTCCTCTTGATTTTTCACCTTCATGCTTTCAAACGAGATTCAGAAAATGAACTCCATCTTGAACAGTACTCTAGAGCCGAGTCTTAGGGGCGGGAAGGATTGTGAGAAGTGGTTGATGTAAGCGCTCATCCTCCTTGTCTCAGCGCTAAACTCTTGTGTAGGAAGAAGTGGTTTGCTGACAAGTGATTAATATATAACAAGCGAGTTCAGAACAACGAGCGCTTACCACGGCATCGGGGATGCTATTCCAGTCACCGAAGGTTAGTTGAAATGAGCTTCGTCGTCCAGACTGATGACGATTAGGTCCAAACATAATTTCGCGTGGAGCCCACGCTGGCCGGCCGTGTGACATCGTCGATACCATTTCTAGCAGCATCCGAAAAGCTCGTTTTGTCAATGTGCATGAAAAGAGTTACAGGTGGCCGATCGGACCATGGCCCAAAGACAAACAGTTAAAGGAGGCTGGCATGGTCAATTTCCAACACTGGGTAGCCGGTATGGAGGGATGGTGTATGTGGCTCCTTACGAAGTTTGGCGAGCAAGAGCCGTGGACAAAAGAGGAAGTCCACGTGTGTGTAGCTCAGCTGCGCAGGGAGCTCCAAAATCCCTATCACCATGTTTGGCACAGGGTGTAAGTTCTTTCTGTCCCGTGTTCGATTCTGGACAATGTCCTTCTTACTGACTGATGCTGCAGACGAAGAGTATGGGCCCAAAAGCCTGTAACCGTCATGACGGAAGTCTGAGTTTGACGAAGATGCTCTGTCTAAATATACCCTGGATATATTGTCCCGCTTTTACCCTTTGTTATGGGCAAAGGCCATTTCTTTTGCATTGGAAGATGCCTACTTCTATCATGCATTTCTTTCTCTCGTGTTGGGGGACCATTTCGGACTTCTGCATTGACGACCCCGACTTAATCAAATTATTTCGTGCCGATTTACAGGTGCGTAGTCTTAGATGAGACCGGCGTGTCGCTAAACACGACTAGCGCGCCAGGCAAGGGATTCCTTACGACCTCTCGACTTCTTTCTTTTTCACTCCTCACACCAGATCCCTTCTTCTCTTTACATGACGTCTTCTCTCTACATGACCCCTTCTCTCTACATGACTTCTTCTCTCTACATCACCTCTTCTCTCTACATCACTCCTTCTCTCTCTCAGTTTCCTTCTTATCTACCCTTCAATTCATAGTCCAGCTTCCGTCATCTTGACGTCATGTCAGATCAACCCCGCGGCCGCGGCGGTCGCGGTCGAGGACCTCGTGGCGGAGTCTTTGGGGACCGCGGTGGTCGCAGAGGACGTGGCCGAGGCCGGGGAGATTCACAGGGCCACCCCTTTCGCCCTTCTGATCGTGGGGGCCGAGGTGATTTCCGTGGAGCCTTCCGCGGTGGCCGGGGTGGTGGTGATCATCGCGGCCGTGGAGACTTCCGGGGTCGCGGCCGAGGTGGTGGTCCTCAGGGCCCTCGAATCTTTAAGTGAGTATTACTGCTTTCATGGCCTCTTTCCAATGATCTGTCTTTGTATTTCACGAACAATCACTCTAACCTCAAAATCCCGCAGTGAGGGCAAACCTATTACTCCGCCCGATGCCACCGTCGTCAAGACAGAAGACGCTGTGGCTAAGGCGCTCGTTGCCAGTCGCCAGAAAAATGCAAAGAACGCTACGCAGGCATATCCCGACCGGCCAGGATACGGTACTCTCGGTCGGCCTGTTACGCTATATGCCAACTATCTGCCCTTTACCTCTGTGGGAAAACTAATCTTTCGCTATCATGTCTCCATCGCCGCAGAGGGCGGCCGGGAGCCTGGTGGCAGAAAAGCACGACACATCGTGCGTCTTCTGCTGGAGGAGCACTATTGTGCCAACTTGAACAGCATTGCAACCGACTATCGCTCAACACTTATCTCAGTGACTAAGGTTGCTGAAGGCCAGTTCGATGTGCGCTACAAGGATGAAAACGATGAAGAATATCCTGAGAACCCGAAGGTGTACAAGGTCACCATCCAACACACGGGTGACATTAACCCAGCCGACCTTATCAACTACCTCACTTCCACCAATGCAGGGAGCATGCTGAGCTCCATGCCCGAGATTGTTCAGGCTCTGAATGTCATTCTGGGTCATCATCCGAAGAGCGAGCGCTCGGTAGCCTCCATCGGCGGAAACAGACATTTCAGCCTTCAAGAAGGACTCAAGGAGAGTTCCAGTCTCGAGGGTGGTCTAGAGGTGCTTCGCGGCTTCTTTGTTAGTGTGCGAGCTGCCACAGCCCGTGTCCTGCTGAATGTCCAGGTCAAGTACTTGGCCTGCTACAAATCAGGGCCCTTAGAATATGTGATTCAAGAGTGGAAGGCTAGCAATTTTAGGGCCAGTTCCTACAGGATGGAGGCTTTTCTGAAGCGCATGCGTGTTTGCATCACTCACATCAAGCACAAGGGCAAAAATGGCAAAGAAAGACCCGCTCGCATCAAGACCATATCCGGTCTGGCAACTCCCCAAGATGGTAGCTCAGCACCCAACGGGCCAAAGGTGGAGGGCTACGGAGCTGGTCCCTACAGTGTGAAGTTCTTCCTGAATGCTCCTGGCTCACAGTCTGCACGGCCTAGTGGTGGAGAAGGCAAGGGCAAGAAGGGCAAGAAGGGCCCTCCCAAAGCTGGCCCTCTTCCAGCTGGCCAGTACATTAGCGTTGCTGATTTCTTCAGGAAAGGTGAGCCGTATTGATACGGACGGTGATGATTCTTTGCTCAACATTGATTCGTTCCTCTAGAGTACAACATCACTGTGAATCCCGACTTCCCTGTTGTTAACGTCGGAACCCGTGACAAACCCGTCTACCTCCCTGTGGAGGTTTGCGAGGTCGAGGCTGGCCAACCTGTGAAAAACAAGCTCTCCCCTAAACAGACACAAAATATGCTCAACTTTGCTGTCAAAGGCCGCATGCCAGCAAAAAATGCTCAGTCTATTATCACGAAAGGTGTGGGGGTATTGGGAATCGGTCAGCCACTGAATGCCACACTCGTAAGTGAACCACTGCCCCGACTGCACTGACATCCTCACTCCCTCATTTCAGCGACTGCCGCACGGCTCCTTAACAAAATACCCAATCCTTCACATTACAGATCCGGATCATCCTCATCAGGCGAAGGCACAGGATAGCCGTGTTCTACTTCTCCAGCGATATCACTCAACTCGTCCGCCAAAGTCCAGCTCTTGACTTCCTTCAACTCTCTCATACAGCACACCAGATCAATATCAAAGTCTTCCATAGCAAGCTTCAGCCCCCGCACAAGCTCCCGTGTCCACGTCTGGTTCTTGCCGAGATGATTTTTCTGACCTGCATACCACATATCAAGAACCACATCCGCACCCTGCATTGCATGCCTGAGTGGCCCAGAGATTCTGTCCGAAAAGGAAGACGGACATGGCTCTGAGTGAAGGCTAGCAAAGCTACTGCTTAAAGTCTTACTTTGCGACCATAAGACTCTGAAATAGAAGTATTCCGGCGCAAACTCCGAAGTATTCACGACCAGATCATATAGCATATTCATTTTTAACCCACCAAATGCTTGTAGTGGCATCTCCCAGCGATACAGATCTCTCCCATCGGATGGCGACACGCTACGCTCCACCCATCCCATCGCCATAATCGGTGGTTGCTGGACAAGCATTCGGCGCCAGCTCGCCTCCGGTCGCCGATATATGTCGCTGATCTCTAGAAAATGGTGCATGTCTGCGGCGCCAAAGGCGATAGCACATGACCCAGCGTCATCGGCGGGAAACCAGTATGGAAATTTGAATGCTAGCAGGGGGTTTTGTTGGCGTGGCCTGTTGGCTGGTGCTGGTCGGAAGAATAGAATTTCTTGGATTGCGGAAGATTCTCTGATGCATAGGGCCCATTGTCGGCAGACTCTTTGGGCGAGGAGAATGGTTTGCATGTCTACTTGCCTGAGAATCGCTTCGATGAGCTCGTTCGGTAATGATCGGGGTTCCATAATTTGGCCTTAGCAAGCTGAGATTCGTATTCCTCCCTTTGGAAATACTGTATTCATAAAATGGGGACTGTGCAGTGTGGATGGCAATCAACGACGTGTATGGAGGCGCTGTGCAGGGTTTGGTTGATCTGAGAGAGCATGCGGCTGTTAGTCGATCGAACTTGGCCTTATCTTCAAAATCTTTCCGGATGTTGCCGCTGAAGGATTTATTGATCAAATGTTGATCCCTACCTGGGCGCCCGAGTTTCAACTTTCCATCCCCAAGTCTTATAGACTCTAGAGTAGAACACAAAACCCAATAACTCAATTGATTATTTGTACGAACGAGAAATAACGCCCGCTCATCAAGACGAGCAGAGCTGATATGTGGCCTAGCCAGAACGGGCTTTGTGATGGGTACAATTATCTTGGCGGTGCAGCGTGAGGGCAGACGATCTTGCAAGATCGCCAGACCTACAGTACCAAGCAATTCTACAGGATTCGATGTATCATTACAAATTTATAACAATACGTCGACAACTTGGTAATTTCATTACCAGTTCTTTTCTGCCCAATTAACAGAGCGGTGATACTATTCAGGATTAGCGTATCTAGGAATTATTACCCGGAAATCAAGAAGAAAGAGTTTGGGGTCAAACTGATTTCGAAAACTACTGTAACGAAATCGTTCATAACAGCAATCAAAGATAACTTCCATGTGAGCTATGTTTGGCCAAAAGTGGTCAGGGTTAGACCCTGGTGGTTTAAAAATTTGCATGTACGCAAACCCTTCTCCTTAGCTATCTTCACTGGACTTCTGACGCCGCTTTCCTTCAACATTATACTATATCGTGTGCTTCGAAGACCTCGCCGATTTCCCCCGAGTCGAATTCCTTAACCGCCTCAACTTCTTAAAAGGAACACTTTCAAATTCCGGGGCGTGAATTTTGGAGGAATACTTGAAGGTAAGTATCTCGTTACTGCCGGAGTAGAACGACTTGTGCTAGAGTGGAAAGTCACTCATGGGAAGTGGCCGGACAAGCGCGACGGCTTGTATGACGAGAGTAAAGGCCCACTTCCCGCAGATTTCGAGTCTCTGCTACGTTAAGCAGGATCCGCTGTTTGTCAGGGTTCCAAAATCTCTGATGGTATAGATCTATTTGAGCATAACAACCTTATTATCACTATCCTCGCTCCAAATAAGAGGGAGAGTCCCGATGACAAGTCAGAGTGGACAGAGTGGAATATTCAATTAATACCTTGACTCCAGTGCGCAGGCCTTGAATAACCTACATGAACCAAGTTCCCCGCCCCAACACTGGCACCATGGCGTTATAAGTTCGGTCTCAAAGTACATCTTCCAAAGGAATGTCCGACAATCTTTTTTTTAAATATGAAGGGGGCCTGCTAGATCGAAGACGGTCAAATTAAATGATGTCTAAATAAAGCAAGACACGCTTTAGAGGAGAGGACAATCCGAGCTCCTATCGGGCCAAGCACACTGTGCAACTGCACAATTAAACGCAGCAACAAAATGCAAGAGTGACCGAGATGCAATGATTCAAAACCACCGAGATTCCAAAATCCAGCTCGAGCAAGAGAATGAGAGATTGAAGAAGCAAGAAGCCGAAATTTCACAGAAATTTAACGACTCTCAGAAGGCTAAGGAGAAGCTCGAGCGAGATACCGAGGAGCTTGAGAAGGAGATTGAGAGGTTAAAGAAGAAAGATAACGAACGTGGGGAACAGGCGAAGGATTATCTGAAGGATAAGGCAAAGCTTGAGAAAAATAAAAAAGACCTTCAGCAGGATAATGACAGACTGAAGGAGCAACAGGAGAAGAGTGCTCAGAAGGCGAAGGACGATCAGAAGGCCAAAGAGGAGCTTGAGAAGGAGAACGAAAAGATTGAAGCAGCTACACGAGAAGAGCGACCAGAAGGCCAAAGACGATCAAAAGGCTAAGGAGGAGCTCGAGCAGGAGAATGAGAAGCTGAAGGCAGGATCATCGCAGTCCAACAAAGTCACTTCCCAGCCCGAGTCATCAAAATCCGAGCTTGAAGCATTATCAAACAAAGAATGCCCAGGTCTTCACGGTCAACGAGCAACAGTGCTCGGTGTGACCTACGAAGTCTTTTGCGGCAATCAGCCTCGTGGTCGATACACTGAGGACTGGGTTCGCTCCAAGAACCTTGCAGACGAGCCCAGTGTTTATCTTCTATTAGCTGTCATCGTCGAGGTTCAGGCAGAGGGTTGGAGTTCGGTGATAAGAGCCTCGACGCGACGACGGATTTCGTCGCGAATAGGACGCACAGCATCAAGGCCTTGCCCGGCAGGGTCTTTAAGTTGCCAATCGAGATAGCGCTTGCCAGCAAAAAAGGGGCAGGCATCCCCACACCCCATTGTGATGACAACATCACTGGCCTGGACCGCATCGGCGGTTAAAATCTTGGGCTTTTGGCTGGTGAGGTCGACACCTTCTTCAAGCATGGCTTCGACGACGACGGGATTGATAGAGTCGACTGGAGCTGATCCGGCAGAGCGCACTTCAATAGTGTCACCTGCGAGATGATTCAGGTAGCCGGCCGCCATTTGAGAGCGGCCGGCGTTGTGGACGCAGACGAACAAGACGCTAGGCATGTTAATCATGAGACGTCCTTCGAGTGATTGGTTGCGCGGTCGTTATGGTGTAGTTTGTTGAATGTGAGGGACGACAGCGGGATATGAAATGCCTTCAAGATAGATCTTTGTAAAAAATGTGCGACAAAAAGTGATGTTGTGGTGCTTTAATTCTTGTGCCAACATAAAGGACATCGGAGGCTTTTCTTGAGTTTACTAAACCATACGTTAGCTTATAAAGGAGCAAGATTAGTAACCCATCGATCTAGACCATTCTGTCATGTAGGGTGCCGTGTAGGATATGGTTGGAAGGCAGTTATGACGGCCAGGTGACGACTTGATATCAATCTGTGTCACTCCAGCACTATGATTGGTTGAAAATCCGTAAGTCACGAGAATTGCGAGTATGTCACGGCCTGGCTATGATTGGTCGAGAGCAATAGGCTGTGATCTGTCTGCTGTTATTGGTCATCAGAATATGCCACTACTAACCAGATTAGGACTAGCTTACAAGTTCTCTCCCAGAGGGCAACGCTCCAGTTCTGAATATTTAATAGAGCTGTCTTTCAAACTTCCCAGGAGGTTCCTCACTTGAATTTTCTTTAACATTTCACATAATCAATCTAATGGTTCTAGAGATGGCCACTACAATCTCTCAGACCGGTCTGCCCGCGCAGACCGATCCGCAAAACCACAACACGACATTAGATGATCAGTCAATAGCTCCCACGACCGGGGATGTCGAAAAGCAAAGGACGGACCGCCCTAAGGAGGCGATGGCTAAGCAATCAGCTTTCAAGAGTCTTGGCTGGTTAGATCGTTTTCTGGCCGTATGGATCTTTCTTGCTATGGCTATCGGAATCATACTGGGTAATTTTGTTGAAAATACGGGACCCGCTCTTCAGAAGGGGAAATTCGTTGGGGTTTCTATTCCGATAGGTACTTACTCACGAATTCCCAACACCATAGCCCTGAACTAACCTCTCAAGCGATTGGTCTCCTGGTTATGATGTATCCTATTCTTTGCAAAGTACGATACGAATCTTTACACTATGTCTTCCGAGAGCGGGGGATATGGATTCAAATCGGGTTCAGTATCTTTGTTAATTGGATTATTGCTCCTTTCTTGATGGTGAGGCGCAGAATCCTTCGACTACTTTCAATGACGCTTGCTGATATTGTACATTATAGCTTGCACTGGCATGGGCTTTCCTACCGGACGAGCCAGAGCTTCGGGAGGGCTTAATTCTCGTTGGACTGGCCAGATGTATTGCTATGGTAAACCATTTTGCTCTATGTTATGCCCCAACTGGACTAATATGTCTTGTTGATAGGTTCTTATCTGGACCGGTCTCGCTGGTGGTGACAGTGAATACTGTGCCATCCTTGTTGCGATCAACTCACTACTGCAGATGGTGCTTTTCGCTCCCTTAGCGATTTTCTTCATCAATGTTATAAGTCATTCGGGTAGTCAAGTCGCAATGTCTTATTCTACCGCTGCGAAAAGCGTGGCAGTTTTCCTTGGCATTCCTCTAGGTGCCGCAATCATCACCCGCATTACCCTGCGGAAGATCGCCAGCCCACGTTGGTACGACCAGGTCTTCCTGAAATGGGCTGGCCCGTGGTCACTCATTGGACTTCTCTTCACAATCCTTGTGTTGTTCGCATCTCAGGGCCGCCAGGTGGTACATCAGATTGTGTCAGTTATCCGAGTTGCCGCTCCTCTTATCGTTTATTTTATTATTGTCTTCTTCGTCACTCTTCTTGTGACCTACAAACTCGGGTTTGGTTACAAGTTGGCTGCTACTCAAAGTTTCACCGCTGCCAGCAACAACTTCGAGCTTGCCATTGCTGTCGCTGTCGCAACATTCGGCGCCAACAGCAATCAAGCTCTTGCCTCCACTGTGGGCCCGTTGATTGAGGTTCCGGTACTACTTGGCCTTGTCTATGTCGTCAAGTTTATAGCAAGGCGAGTTGGCTGGAAGGATTGAGTCGAAAAAAATAATTCATGCCTTGTGAAATAATTTTATAATTATTTATCTATCGACTTTAGAAGACTAAAGTGCATTGAAATAAGGGCACCAATATTTGAAAGACTAGAGGTAAAATATACACCGTTGACCACAAGGGCTATTTCTTCGCTCAAGATCAAAAAGTGAACCGTCACAATCGCGCATATTGGGTCAAGCTACTATGTTTCCAGTTCATTCCTCCATTTGCCATCCAAGATTCAAGATGAGCTCAGCATTTATCCAAAACGCCACCAGCAAAACAGTCCCCTGAAACAACCTTTCGCACACCAACGGTGAATCACTATCATACCGACTGATTGTTCGTTTTCGCCGCAGTAGCGATGGAATTGAAATGTGGATCTTCGATCTTGAAGCCTTCACATCGTTCCACCAGACACAGGTAGTACTCATTCAGCACTTCCGGCTGCGGGATAATTTGCCACCGAAGTCGAAACAACAATTCAAGCTCTAACGTGGCTAACTCCTCCGTACTCATTCCTCCTATCTCAGCATATGTCTTGTTTGTCCAAAAGCGGTCGCTCAGGCCCTTGCTAGCAACTGTCGCACTTACAATCAGAAACCGGTGGATTGTCAGGCTGGTAACAGTGAAGAAGGGATATAAGATGCAGAGACGGTCAGCATAGTAGACCATACTAAGGAGTATTGCCGGTGAGAGAGTCGCATGCGTAGTCAAACGCTGAAGGTAATCGTGAACGGAAATTTGTGCTGAGGCATGCGAATGAAAGCTAGTTACCTGGTCTCGGCGAAGTTGTATCTTCTCGTTGAATCGAATTGCTTCCATGAGCATGTTTGAGATAAGAGAGGCCACATCACAAGGCCAGGCCAATTCGTACTGTGCTGGCAGTAACTTCATCTAGAATTTGAGATCGGTGGTTGTCTTGACTCCGCGCTTCCAAAGTCTATGCTCATCGACACACCAGTGACCCATTTGGTGAATGACAATGACTTTTATGTTTGCATTTTGGTATCCTGAGCCAGGGCAGACTTCCGGAATCGTCTGCTAGCCGGCAGTTTGCAACGAAGACCGCCATCTGGGTTTAGCCTATGGTAACATTGGATCCTCAGCCAGTGGTGTGTGGCATGGCATAACTGCACATTACTGAATTTTTCCACAGTGTCTGTCATATAAACGGTCACGCGCGCGGTCAGAGTACCCTCCTACAGCCATAAGATCCTTGTTAGGAGATACCGTCGTGTGAGTCAGCCAATAATCTTGTATCTGTGACACAATGGGTATTGTCTGGGACTTATACCCACGGCTTCCAGAAAGCTTGAGCCAAAGTATCTTCTGAAGTGTTCTTATGACGACGAGATGCTTCCCAGAGCAGCAACTGCGGCTATTGCATCTCACAAAACTTAAGCCCGCCGCTAAAGGGCCCATAATCGCTTGCATTTGGCCTCAAGACTCTGGTCAAAAATATCTTTGTGTCGCGGCGCAGTGTCCGAAAGTCCTCATAGACCAACAATTATTTTCGGAACATGAGTTGTGCGCGCTCAGGTACCTGTTCTCCTCGTGCTCAAATGATCATTTTGGAAAACATTATTATTACAATTTACCAGTTATAGGTTGCCGTGTAAGACTCATGATAGTAACATGCTTGGTGACCATAACATAACCAACATGTGCAAGGCGCAAGTCAGAGGCTCCATCTTCTGTGTGTATAGTAAATCCACTAGCCAGGAAGACATTGTCCCAAATCAACTCTGGTTATAATGAAAGTAGCAAGTTTTGCAAGGCAGGAGTTTGTTGATGCACACATTAAATCTAGGTGAGGGGCCCGGTGTTTACCTTCCATGCGACTGTTGTCGGCCAGAAGCTTGAAGTTCGGCAATGACAAGATTCTCAACGCGCCAACGGATTTCATTGCGGATAGGACGCACGGCATCGAGAGCTCGTCCAGCAGGGTCATCAATCTGCCAATAGAGATAGCGCTTGCCAGGGACAAAGGGACAGGCGTCACCACAGCCCATTGTGATGACAACATCGCTGGCCTTAACGGCATCTTCCGTGAGAATTTTAGGCTTTCGGTCCAGTAGGTCGATACCTTCTTCGAGCATAGCTTCCACAACGACACGGTTGAGCATTAGGGCAGGTGCTGATCCAGCGGAGCGACCTTCGATGAAGCCGCTCGAGAAATAATTAAGATAGCCGGCAGCCATTTGGGAGCGGCCATCATCATGGACACACACGAACAGGACACTCAAAGTATTTGCCATAGCTGTCTTTCGTTGATTGTCTGAACGGTTGTCGTCTAGTAGGTCATTGAGATATACTGATGTGTTTAGTGTCATGCTTATCTGCGTGACACGGAGATAAAATTGTCGAGCTATGGTAGCAAGACGAAAACTACCAGGCTTTTTAAAATACAGGAATGAGTGAAGTTTCAGGAGGAGCTTCTTTATATCACCAATATAAGAGAACACGCAATTAAGCTAGTCTGATCGTTTTCTTTTCATGGAATCATGGCACTGGTCCAAGAGTTTACCGCCTTGAACCACATCCACTCTCGAGTGAGTACCGCTCTAAATTCCACGGAGCCTACTATGCAACGGCCTCATGTGCGCCAGCATATTCCTGTATAGGTATACAGGACGGTCAAAGGCTCAGAGTTGCAGGGCTGAATAATACCTTGAATCAGATGATATCTGTGTCTTGGAGCGAACCAATCATCTCGCAGCTGTGACACATTGGAACCTGCCTAGACTTTCACATCGCGAATTCTCAGGAAGTTTGTTGTAAGAACGGTTAGGGGCGCGTAGAGATAGCTGGTGTCCTAGTACCATCACGGATACTGTATTCTGTTTGCTAACGAGATGTATCCAAAAGTAGAAACTTCAGTCGTAACCACCCACAGCAACCCACCACAACTGCAATCAATAGGCCACGCTCTAATTGGATATGATTGACGTGAGTGATTCATACAAAAGACACCTCAATTCACTAGGTACAGTAAAGTCACTAGATCAGGGCTAACACTCTGTGAGATGCGGCAAACTTAGTCTTTGTTATACTGAGTGTGAAAATTGTTTGGCGTAGGTGATATTAGAAGCCACGTGTGGTGGTGCAGTGGGAGAACTCGCCAAGAACTGTGTGGATCAACAGATCGATTTTCCAGGTGCTGGCTGTATGTAGAACGAACCAGGAAACCTACCTCGGGCGCTAAACCCGAAGGGAAGGGAGGGTGCCAGGTAGAGTGACTAACTGACAGATGATGATTCGGTGCCGGGTGGATGGGCTTGGCGACAAACAGATTATTTTCGGGATCGCAATGCCCCTTTCCCAAAGACTCCTTTACACAAGCTGCCTTTTCAACTCCTCTCCTGAACTACTAAAATATTTGAGAAATGAGGGCAGGAGATTTTGAGAAAGTCAGCGAGACTTGCGCGCTATACGATTCAACCCGCAAAAATCAGCGGCGCTCTCAGCCACTGCGCAAGGAGTACATTCAAAACCTGGAGCGACAATTGCTGTCATTCGAAAGACAAATTATCGCTGAGATGCAGGAGTTCCAAGAAACGAGGAGCGAAATGATGAGAGAGAATTCTCTCTTGCGGTCACTGTTAATGTTTATGGGGGTCACGGAGACTGAAATCGAAGCACACTTAGAATCGCGATGCCAATCAAATATGTGGCCTGAAAACGCAAATCCGCACTCATCGACGTCCCAAAGTGGCCCACTGGCCGATTCCCATAATTTACCGACAAGCTCGACTAAGATGGAATCCGGCAGTTCTCTTCGCAAACCTAATGTTGCTGAGTGATGTTTTCTTCCATCAAACTTGGCCGTTGATAGAGCGCATTGTATGTTCAACTCCCTAGAAAATGATACAGAGCGTCCGGAAGATATGAGTTTCATCAAAACTCCTCCTGAAACGCATTGAACGATCAGCATAGTGAGGCTGCAGCCGGTGCCATCATGAGCAAGAGAGTGTTCAGGGGTGCTTTACGTGACTAAATTCGGATGTAATGAAGGTCCAGATTGCACTGAAGAATATGTCCTTCCCTGGACTGGATTAGTGGTAGAAGTGCTGCACTATGTATGCTGTTTCCCAAAATATCTAATCATATGGTACCTTCCTGTGGTTTCTATGGTGATCTCTACATACATGTTTTGACATTTACTGCCTAGGAATGCATCTTTTCTTCCTTAAGTTTTTTTTCCACCCTTTCACTGAAACGGTCCGCAAATAATCCTATGTGAGGCCGCATCACAATAGTGTATTTGATAAATTCCTCCATGCAGTCAACTAGGCGAGCCGATTGCTGCTAGGAATAAGTCTTTGATCCTGTGGCTGGCCCTCGTCCGGAAAATGGGTATATGCCTTCGGAATTGATGACTGGTTGGGAATCGTAAACATGCGCATCCATCGACCGAGAATACGCAAAGAATTAACAGCATTAAAGGATTGCGATCCACCACACACTTGGGCAATAGCAAGTGTCCGGCCCTGAGTCGGTCGAACACTTCCAGTGCTTAGGGGAATCCAATCAATTTGGTTCTTGAACACCGCTGTCTAGCATCATCGAGAATTGGCAAATGTGAGCATATATATCAACCGCTAATATTGATAGTGTAACTAACCAGATTGCCATGCTGCTCAGGGGAAACCCAGATATGCCCATCACTCCAGTAGCTGAGTTGTCGAAGCTCCTGAACTTTTGGATGGCCTTATCTCCAGATAAAGAAGTTAGAAACTAGAGCACTATCACGGAAAATTTATAAAGATCCAAAGTTGATTGTCCCCGAGGCAAGAAAACAGATACTGTAATAGTTCTTCAATTTGACAGAAACTTGCAAGCTTTCCAATTAATCGGTATCCATGTCCGATCCCGTATCTTCTTTGGCGTAGTAATTCCGCTCGGTGCTGAGGCGATGAATTTCCTCTGCATGCCTGCGAAGATGCATCTCATGTAGCAGATCTTTGTCACACATATGACACCTTCGATCCTGCAAGTGCTTCTCTCGAAAGTGTCGTAGAGTCGACTTATACTCGCTATATTTCTGCGTCCGGCGATGAATGGGAAGTTCGGTGTTGCCATAACATTGAAAACATCGCCGAGGCTTCTTAGCCTTTTTGATATAGTTTTCGGCTTTCACAAGAAGAATATCCTGCCGCGAAGGCTCCGGAGAGCTGCAACTCTTCTTGGCTGGCTCTGGTAACACGTTGGTCTGTTCTTCATCGAACCCGTCACTTGGTGCAGCCCGTTTACGTCGCCCACGCAATGGTCCACCTTCAAGGAAACAACAGTATCGGGAGATCGTAGCCACAGCAGCGTTCCTTCTTTGCCACTCCGCCTCCAGGGATTGAGAAGTAGGCCATGTGAATAATTTCTCAAGAAGATCAATCTGCTCCGGTAGCATCTGGTCCTCTACTTGAAGTACCTTCTTCGCCTCTTCGTCATCAACAGCGGCCCCCGAGAGCTGTCGCTCAATGTCTATTATAGCCTGTTTGCGGTCGAACTCATGGCGGACCTTCCGTCTTAGTGCTCTTTCCAACCGACCGAGTGTATTGGAGGTTTCGCGTGTCAATTTCTCTAATCGCGATTGCATCGCTGCACTGGGATCGTATTTGCACTCTTCGGCTTGCTCCCTCATTCGCCGAGTGGCCTCGACATATTCTGGATGTTCGCGAAGGGACGCTCGTTGCTCCGGAGTAAGGTGCCGAGGGCGTCTCTTGTCAATCCACCTACTCATCCGGGTGATCGCGCGCATCAGAGCCTTGTTGGATTCGCGGCCGTTCATAACGCTCTGCATATCGGTGTCGATGTGGCGTGGAAGATAATGTTTCAAGAAAGTGCGAGTGTCAGCGTGTTTCATAATCAGATTTTGCTGTGCTTCGCTGACTGCGCTGTTTTCGTTTAACATCTTCCCCCCTCCATAGCGAAAACGATGGGCGAACATTGACTGAAGGAAGCCGTGGATCTCCCCTAGATTTCTCAGACGTCCAGACATGGCGCTCTCGGTTGTCGGCTGGTTCCATTGGAGAACCGCACGTCCATTGACTACGTCTGTCTTGCAGAAGACATAATAGTCTTCGACTTCGCGCTTTAAGGGTAGTTCCATCTGTTGTCGACCGCCTTCGACGAACAGCTTTCGAAGGCGCTCCATGGAGGAAAGCGCAGGGACTTCGAAGGCTTGAAGCCAAAAAAGTATACCGAAGATGAATGTATGAGGACTGAAGACAAGCGACGGATCGTTGATGATTTCAGGAAAAGGAAAATTGTTACTAAGAATTAGTGTTAATATTAGGATCTTAATTGCCGGCTTCAATGCATGATACATACACTTGCGAAGTTCCGAGGAATTTCTTCGTATGCTCCGACTTGATCTCCGCCAAAAGCACGGGAGGGCCTCCATCCGGATTGTGTTGTATGGAGAAATGTAGATGTTTGAATTGTAGCGAAAGAAGAGCATGCAGCCGGTTCACGGTAAAAATACCGAGCATGTTGAAGAGACAGAGTTGGATTCGTTCGTACCCAAAATGAAACCGTCTTTCCTGAGTTCGGAGAATCGTCTCGTTCAATTCAGTCAAGTCTTGGACGTACACCGGCTCCTTGCCCCGTTCTTGTTGATCGAGGTTGAATTTATCGATGAGTTTCCGGATACCCTGGACCCAGTCAGCTCCGAGTATCGGCTTACGGTGGATGACTGACCGCATTAATCTCTTCGCTATCTTCAGCGGTGATCCTGGTCCGTGTAATTCTCCGATAGTAACCCCGAAATCCTTTCCATTCAGCTTTCAGGGCGCTAGCTTTCGACATTCCCTTCAGATGTCGACCACCTTCACCGTATTTCAGCTTCATGCAGTAGTTGAAAAATCGATGCACGTCATTAGGGGTAACCTCGCGCAATGCCTCCTCCGGATCATCCCATTTCAAAAGCGCACCAGACTGAGCCGCCTTCACTCGGCAGTACCTACGCCTCGCATCAGTAACCACCTCCACATTGCGTAGGTCTGAATCAATGCTCACTTGTGCCAGCGCTTTTCTATTCGTCGACCCCGAACCTTGGTTTTCTCCGAGTGCCCATAATCAAGTGGTACATCTGCGAGGTCCTCGTCTGTGTCGTCGTCGGGGTCGTCGCTGAAATCGGGCAGAACACCAGCGTCCGCTGGGTGGCGCATGGGTCGTTTTGGACGGGTTGAAGGCCTACTACGATCATCAGGAAGACAAGTGGGCTCCGGGGTGGTCAGCCCGGTAGAATTTGAGGCGTCCCCAGAATCGGAGTCGTCGGTGGCATCGAAGTCAGGCTGGAAAGAAACCCCGGAAGTGTCACTGTCAAACGCTGAGGATGGGTCTGCAACGTCGCTCATGTTGCCTCTGGAGAAACAAAAATGTGTGCAAAGGCGATCTAGGCAAGTAGACAGCTGAATGAAAAAAGGACGAGGGACTGAGGCATGGGTTGAAGGAGGGACGGGCAACAAATAAGTACTAGAGGAGAGGGGGACTGGGTAGGAGAGTGAGGGACTGTTGGCGGTTTATGGCCATGAAACCGCCATTGCCCCAGCGACCAATGGGCCTGGGATGGAGTGTGCCATTTTTGGCGACCTCACCATACGAAGGGTCATGGTAGCGCTCAAAGAGCTGGGCCGGAGGTGGGTAGAAGTCGATGGAAAGCACGAGCGGGGCGTGGACGCAGGGGAAGGGAGCCACGCGTCCAGGCACCGACATGGCTGAACGAGAACGTGACGGTGCGTGTTACAAGAGCGCAGTTGGGTGGCGCGTGGCTCCGGGGCGATAGTGCGTGTGCGGAATGGTGGTGCCGAGGAGGCCATTTTCGGCGCACTTTGACGCCAGAACCGGCCGCCTCAGCACAAATGCTTTTTGTTTTTACGGTCTTCTAGAATAATATAATAAACTATAGTCCTTTATCCGATATAATTAAGTCCGGAAGTCCTATCTATCTATAATAGTATATTAACTATAACTTTACTAGATCCCTAGCTATAGTATCCTTAAATAAGGATACGTAAACTATCCGCTTTATTAATCTATAGACTACTATTAAGGCGTTATTATATCCGTATTAGTCTTTTAGTAGATATATAAAGTCTATAGAGATATACTACTAGGATCTATCCGGTACCGGTAATAGGTTTAGGAGTCTGTGATATATAGGTAATAAGTTAATAGTTAACTAGCTAGTCGGTTAACTAGTCCGTGAATAGACTTAGAGTATAGAGTTAGTTAGATAAGTTAACTAGTTAGTTATCGTGAACTAGTAAGTTTACTAACTAGTTAGTTAGCCGACTAGCGAGTTAGTATTAACTAGTAGGTTAGTTAGCTAGTTAATAGATATAGACTTAGGGAGTTAAGGAGGAGATTATATAATCGATATTTACATTTATAAGATTAGATATTTACCTACGCGTTATTAATAGAAGCCTTACGCGTATATATACGCTAGAGCCTAAGGATTATTTATCTTTCGGTTTACTTCTATAGAGGAACCTTCTATCCGGGACTTTCTATAAGGATTCTACTACCTTACTATAGCCCCGCCTACGATAGGTATTTAAGATAGTACTTTATCTTTCTTATTTCTTCCTTTCCTTTTTCTCCTTTATCTTAGTTTCCTTCGTTATATAGGATATAGTTACTTTACCTTCCTTCTTCTATATATAGGTTATCGTAGCTATACTACCTAGGTGTTATATAAAAACTAAGATCTCTAATATTCTTTTTACCTTTATACGATAGACCGGCGCTTACTATAAGTTATTAAGTCTTTATATATTATCTTCCCTTATTTTTCTCTTTTCCCTTTAAACGATCGATATAGTAGTACCTATTAATATAGTACACCCGGATATTAATAAAGAACCTAGTTAGGGAGAGTCGTATAGTATATATCGATAGAGCTCCTTAGCTAGACCTAATAATCTTCCCTATAAAGACTACGATATATATTTTATTTAGGTTACGCCTTAGCTAGATAATCTACTCGAGTATTTACGCGATAGAAAACTTAGCTATAAGAACTTTATCGACTTAGTACGTAACGAACCTAGGTTTATATTCGACTTAATATAGGATATATAGCAAGCGACGGTCGACTACTTATATTATCTCGATAACGAAGTAGAGGAATAACGCGGATAGCTCGCTATAGCTACCGCTAAGGTAGTTAAACTAATAAACTAGAAGATAACGAACGACGAGCTCCTCCGTAAGTCTAAGGAATATACCGATCTTAACGCTACTACTATTAAGCTTTTATAGATAACCCTCTAGTAGATCTATACCTCCGCCGATTAAATCGAAACGAGCTATCCTATACCTCCTACTAACTAACACGAGTAGCGTAAAGCTACTATAGATACTACTATAATAGGCCGTTCTAATTCTATATACGCTATATATAAATTTAAGATCCCCGATCTACCCCTACTTACCGATAGAAAGGAAATAACTTAGGAAAACTAGAAGATCGCGATAGAGCGTAAGCTATATAGTATAGGACTAGACCTTACCGATCTCTTAGCTTTAGACTATACTTACTCTCGATACAGAGATATAGCCGAACAGAATATTAATTAATATATAATAGATATAGCCTCCGAGCGATACTAGAACTATAATAACCTCTTTAAGTACCTTAGATCTATCTTCGGTAACTATAATAAAGCTATACGCTCTAAATAGGATTTCTAGAACTTAGAGATATAGAATAGCTAGTTATTTAGCGACTTCCTATCTTAGTTCTCTTACCTCTTCGACGCTAGCGAACTTATTATAGGCAAGCGCTAGAAGAAGTACGCCCTCTAGAACCGCTTAACTCCCCGACTTCGGGAGATTATCGATATCGACTTAATCGATAAGCCCCTTATATCCTTTACCGAGTTTAGCCGTAAGGTTAGAAAGAAGTATAACGCTTTTTACCTAAGTAGCTAGATCTCCGCTTAGCGACGCGGCTAGACTACTAATAACAAAAGTACTAATCTATCTAGAGCGTCGAAGACGCGTTTCTCTAAGAAGTCTAATAATAAGACTACTACTATAACTCCGGTATCGTCTAGTACTACGCCTCGCGAGATAAAGATAATCCTAGTATCTAACGCTAAGAGTCTAGATAGGAAGACCCGTACCCGCTATATAAAGGAAGGATAATACTTTAGATACGGATAGACTAGATATATATCTTCTAAGTATCCTAGTAAGGAACGCGCTACTTTAGTAGCTAAGATATTAGTACCTAATCCTAGTTATATAGAAGAGATCTCTAAACCCTCCGAGACGGGAAAAGCCTAAGCCTAGAATAAGTCTCTCTTCTAGGTATAAGTATTACGAAAGTAGTTATACCTTTAGATTTATATACGGTATTAGGAAATAACGAATAATTTACTTTTCTAATTATACTTATATCTAATAGTTAGTTAACCTATATAACTACTTTACTCGATACTAGAGTAATACCCTATATAGCTATCGATAAAGGATTAGCCTATACTATCCGAGATATTTAGAATATTCTATAGATATCTTTATCCTAGTTAGTGAAGGTAGAGGGATATAATAGGAAAGGTAGAAACGCTATTACCTATATAATCGTTCTAACTCTCTAGATCGACGGATAATAGTTTTATTAGATACCGTTCCTTATTACCGGTTTAGGTTATTACTATATAATTATCGGATAAGCCTAGTTCGTGTATTATTAAGTATTATTAGATTATACGAATCACCGAATCTAGTAGCCTACTAAAGTTACTCTAGTAGATAAGGTAGCCGGGAAACTAACTCTAGAGATCCCCCTACCGGTATTAACGCGTCCGCGGGTTATAAATTAGAAATATTAGGTATATACCGAAGCCTATAACCGGGAAATAGAGCGACTGATCGAGTAGGAGCGGATCGATAGATCTCGGGTTACTTTAACTACGTATAACGCCGGATATCGACTTCCTAAAGAGTTCTTAAGTAATTATACACGAGCCTATAAGATATTTAGCTATATAACGGCTAGGGATAGAGAACCGGTAGTCCTAGCTCCTTAACCGTCTCGCGCAGAATTAAATACTATATTTCTAAGTCCCGCTCGAGCTTTTATTAGTCGAGTAGGGTTTAAACGCTATATATAGGCTAAGGATACCGAAGTATTTATTACTACTCTTAACGAGATCGACGCGGTAATTACGGAACTAGCTCCTAGGAACGAAGTAGTTACGGAGAAGGAGTCTATTTAATAGTAAATTCCTAAGATATACTATAATCTATAGGAGTTCTTCTCGTAATATAAGTCCGACGTTCTACTACTATATTAGGGCCTATTCGACTATAAGATCCTTCTTAACAGAGAGTAGAGACTAGGCTATTATCTCCTCTATAAGATAAACTAGGAGAAGCTTAAAGTAGTTCGAAAGTACCTTTTCGAAAACTTATAAAAGGGCTTTATCGTTCCGTCGAGATACCCCTTCGCTTCTCTAATCCTAATAGCGAAGAAGGTAGATAGCAGACTACGCTTCTATATAGACTACCGACGACTAAACGCGGTCACAGAAAAAGATATCTACCCGTTACTACTTATTAATAAGATAATAGACCGGTTAGTCCGCGTAAGACGCTTTACTAAACTTAATATACGGTAGGGATTCTATTAACTTAGAATAGCGGCGGACTTAGAGGATCTAACGACGTTTATAACTCGATATAGGACCTTTAAGTATAAGATTATACTATTTAGGTTATAGGATAGACCTATCTCCTTCTAATAGTATATTAACTAGATACTTAGGGATCTCTTAGATATAGTTACTATTATATTCGTGGATAATATCCTAATCTTTAGCGAGGATCCCGAGAAGTACGTTAAATATATTCGGGCCGTAATCTAACGATTATAAGCTATAAGACTTTAGGTAGTAATCTATAAGTATAAGTTCGACCGAACCGAGACTAAGTTCTTAGGTTTTATCGTAGGAGTAGATAGAGTAAGGACTAACCCTAAGAAGATTAAGGCTATTTATAAGTAGTAAACTCCTATAATAGTTAAAGGAGTTTAGTCCTTTCTTAGGTTCTATAACTTCTATCGTCGTTTTATTACTACCTATAGTTATATCGCGAAGCTACTCTACTAACTTACAAAAAAGGACTATACGTTTATATAGAGCGAGGACTATATAAATATCTTCTAGTAACTAAAAACTACTCTTTCTTTAGCGCCTATCTTAGCGTACTACTATCCGGAGAGGAAGACGAGACTAGAAATAGATACCTCGAAGGATATTATTACGGGAGTACTATCCTAGAAGTAGGATAGGTTATAGTACCCTATTAGGTTCTTCTCTAAGACTATATTACCTAGAGAGCGGAAGTAGGATATCTACGACCGGGAGATACTAGCGATTATAGAGAGTATAGATAATTAGTAGACTAAGCTATCGGGACTATAACGTAAAGAAAGATTCGAGGTCCTAATAGATTACCGGGCGTTAGAGTACTTTATATTATTAAAACTTCTAAATACTCGTTAAGCTCGCTAGGGTTTAAAACTTTCCTAGTACTATTTCGTTATCCGCTACCGACTAGGATAATAAAATACTCTTATAGATATATTATCCCGCTTCTAGATTAAATAATAAGGGAAACCGGAGAGCTAGACGTTACTACCGGAATCCTACTTAGACCCCTAGATCGTAAATAAGCGTAAGACCGTTCGAATTAACTAACTC